CTAACTGAAGGTTCTCCCAGAAACTTTATTTTTGACGTGTACTGTTTGACTCAAGAAACTCATCAAGTATGTGCTATTTCCCAAACTTGTCTGACTGTGGGTTTTGTTTTTCCATAAGTTTATCTCACAGGACAAGATCTAGTCTGATTCCTAAGTTTTGCAAAAGTAGAAACTGAGATCCAGAGATTTAAATGACTTTTCTAAGCTATTATTAGTAGTGGGTCACAGATCGAGGCCTAGCACATAGGCCTCCCGACACACAGGCCTGTGTTCTTGCTTCAAGTTCATACCAGCTCTCTACGGAAAGATGCCCCCTCATTGAAGATGAATTTTGAAAGAATAATCTAATTATTCATTTGCAGATTCGTAGGGTATTCTAAAGCAAAATCTGCAAATCAGGGGGCTCAGTGGCAAAATAAGATTTTTTAGGTCTGAAATAAAATAGGTCTGAAGTGTTTGGGAAAAAGTCTATCAGTTACCAACACTTAAAAATCAGGTTATTTCAAATAAAAATATGAATTTTTAGCTCCTCTATTAAAACTTAGGCAATCTGGCAACACTAGGCCTATATTCCCACATGGTAACCAGCTGGAGCTCAGTGGCCAGCTTTGCCTCCTAAGATGAATACAGGCCCCCACCTCCCCTGGCCCAGTTTGCCACAGTCCCCACTGCTCCCTGTTGCCTGCTACCATGTATCAGCACATGAATAATATGGCTTTCCTTTTTATAGCCAGTCTATTTCATTCAATCACCTGCCTGGCCCCCTGTAGTCACTTACTTTGTAACAATGGAAAAATTAAAATTGCCCCAATTGAGATATTAATATTTCCAAGATTCTGTAAGTTTGGAACCACATAGGGTTAAGCAAAGATGAACAGGCTTCTTTATTGTGATCTTTCCTTAGTCCTTCATGGACCACGGGTTCAGGAGGGCCAGTGTAGTTTTTCCTGTCCATGGGTCTTTTTTTTTCAAGAGACCATCTCTCTGTCACTATTATTCCACTGAATACATTTTAGGAAATATGCCACAAAACCCCCTTCTTGTCCCTTTCTGCCAGCAAGCCTGGGGACTGATGTCTCTTCTTTTTCTGGACTGTCATCACCTCGGTTTTCTGGTGTTTCCTGGAAGCTACTTTGAGAACAGAATGACAACAGCCTGGCCTGCCCAGCACAGGCCCCCAAGAACAGGTCCACTCTTCTGGGACACTTAGGGCAGAGGGTTCCTGGCAGAGCAGGGAGCATGGGACACCAGGCTGACTGAGGTCCCCAGGTATGCCTCCCCGAGGAGCCAGCCTCACTGGGGCATCTTCAGTGAGCAAAACAACACAGGAGAAAGTACAAAACAACACATGATGGGGGGGATTGGTGACAACAGGAAAACAACGCTTTCTTGAAAAACCAGCCTTGTTAGGAAAGGCGACACACTTCAACTGTTGCTTTTCCTCTCTATTCAAAGGTGAGGAATGACTACATCTCAACTCTAGGTGTTCAGGATACTCACAACATTCAAGACAATTAGAGCCAGCTGGAAAAAAATAAAACCCACACCTTCGGACTCAGACTGTTAGGCGTACCATTGTGGGCCTGCAGGCAGACAGACCAGAAGCTCCTCTTTTGCTAAGGAGAGGGCATGGAGGTTCTCTGAGGGGTGCTCTGGAGACAACTGAGTCCCTCGTGTTACACGATCGCCTTAGAAACCTCCCCAGGCTACAGCTTTCCAAGTGGAGCTCGGCTCCTAAACCCTCTCTCATCAGCCAGCTCCAAGTCGGTCAGTTCCACGTTCTCCCCAGGGAAGAGAGCTTCTCCTTAGACAGACCAGCCCTTCGACAGCTGCAGAATGACCAGAGAAACTGCAGGACTTCTGCTGAACTGGGGTTCATGAGATCAGAGGGAAGAAGTCAGAGGGACGGTGCTTCGGGAGAAAGACGGACATTTTTCTTATTTGGCAGGAGGTCAAGC